CAGTGTGGTGCAAGTTTTATTGATTTACATTTACACTGTTAGACACAAAAGAGATATTTTGTTTATATAATTTCTATAATTTCTATATAATAATGCATTTTAATCTGTAGCACTTCGAAGTTTCTATGAAGTGTAAAGTGCAATGTTGAGTAAAATTATTACTATTTAACTCATGTAATGCCATGTTACAGGTCTTATCTGTGGAATAGATGGAAAGATACTTTATTGATCACCCTTAGGATAAATTCAGGTGTCCAGTAGCAGCAGAAACACATCCATCCATACAAACAAAACAAATGAATAGATAATTCAAAAATGAGCTAACAGAAGTATTAAAATGCAACAGCACTTTAGGTCACAGCAGCAGAGTAGCCGCTGGGTGGAACTATGAGACTATTACATTCTCAGAAAGATGAAGTGTCTGAATGTATTTAAGCAGATGTTTTTGATTCATATAATAAATTCACCTTGGAGAGACCCATGAGGAAAACGCATTAGACTTATTGATTTAAGCATGTTTATTGATTGAGCATGTTTGGCGCCCTAGGCCCGGGCGGGATGCTGTTGAGCACGGCGCTTGCTCGCGTGCATGATCCCCCCGGGGCCTAGGCACTGGTGACGGCAGAGGCAGTAGGCAAGCACGCTTCATGCGAGAAGGAGGAGGTTGGGCGGCGGCGGCTTGCAGACTTCAGAAGATCGGGAAGTGGGCGTCTCCGGCTTTTAACTTGCTGTCCTGGTGGTTATTGGTTGACTGGGTGTGGGCGTTGCTGGTATTGATGAGTCGAGGAAGAGCAGCCTGTGGCCTGGCAGCAACAGCCGGGTCTACCACGGTGAACTTTCGCGAAAGCTCCATTTTAATAAATTCAAGATATGACAAATCTTAGTTTTAAGTTTAATTCCATACTGTGGTGGCTTAGTTCAGCTGTAAAACCAGAATTAATCTTTGGTCTTTGGTCTTGTTTGAATCTTGTGATGTGGCCACCAACAATTCCACTGCTGTGCCTCTTGTACTGCATTAGAATTGTGATACAGAGGTGCAAATATATTATGAATATCAAGCTATGCTATATTAGATATGTCTCCACATGTTTCATATCAACTTGAGCATTTTAAGTAATTTAAAATGATCCTTAAACATGTTACATATTCCTTTGCCCGTCACCTCAAATGCCCTCTGTTTCACCACTTCAACCGCTATTCCGTCGAGCAGCACAACTTTCATCTCTAAATTTTTCCAGCAGCTCTCCACTCTGCTGCACATACTCTTTTTTTTGCTTTTGATGCGGCACAGTGAAGTACTTTGGTCATTCCAGTATAAGTTATGTGTCATGTTGGAGCACAGTTAGTCTCAATAATAACAATAATAATAACAATAATACTACACATGACTTCTCAAAATGGTGTTATAACGCTAGTGTTGTGATATATGCAGATTTTCAAAATGGCTTTCTTTGGAACAGTGTGGGAAATGTGATGGCTGTCATTTTGTGACCAACACCAGCCTCCCATCTTCAGATGTGTCAGATGTAATGACAGGGAATATTCAGTGCTGTTTAGTCAGTCTTTCTCTGAGGGAGGACATGTTTGGCTCCTGAAGCTTCTCTGTGGATCCTTGCTTTGAGTGGGACAGGTGTGGGAGATACAGATGAGAACGCACATTTGTTATATTTATGAAAATGACCTGGACTCTTGATGTGTGATTATGTGAAGTTGAAGGATTCTACAATCTTGAAACAAAATTCTGATTGCCACTTTTTAAATCGACACTTTTTTTATTGTACATAATATCCTGCATTTAATATGTTTCCACATTTCTTTCTTTTTGCACAATCTTGAGTGTTTCTATCCATGCTAGATGTGACATGTAAATTTCTCCTTTGTGAGATCAATAAAAGAAAATGTGTTTTTAATTTATTGGTTCAATAAGAGATACAAACGTGACCTTGTGGTGAAGCTAGAGTAGACACCAGTGCTCCATTGAGCCTCAAGGATTTATTATTCTCTAATGTTGTGTTTCCTAAAAATAATTTGAGCTACTGCCGACATTTTTAGTAGAATAAAAATCCCAAGACACCCCACAGTCCTAATGTTTCAGATTTTCTCACATCCTCTTCTGTCCTTTATCGGACCAAGTGTTTTTTCTGTTGATCTTTGGAAACTGGGTGCGCAGAATATCTCTAATAACTGGGCCATCAATTATTTTTTGCAATAAACTATTTTGTTTTATTTTTTTTATCCACATCCACGCTTGGTTTGTAGAGATTGTAAAAAAAAAGAAAGTTGCTGAAAAATAGCAGACCTGACACCTCTGGTCACAGGTGCACGAGGCGGAGCGAGAGAGCAGCACGTGCAGACAGCTGCTGCTGCGCCACAGAGAAGAGAGAGACCATGTCGGTAAAACTTTGTCATTTTCTATGGCACACCTGACTTTATCTCCACGGCAACCTGAGGTTGAAAAGGAACATTTTAACAACAACACTTAAGTTTTCATTTTTGATACTTGCTTTGATTTTAGCTCTGCAGACCGCTCGCCCCCTCACTCTCATGGGCTGTCAGTGTCTGGGCTGCTGGTGCTGCGTGGGTCAATAACTGCAGGCTGTTTTTTTTTTTGCGAGAGACTGTAAATATGCACCAGGAGACAGAAATCGGACTGTGATCATAGCAAAATTCTAGAAGTTGCTGGACTCCCATTGCTCGATATTTTATTTTTCTCTCATGTGAAATTCCTCAAAGTTATGTGAGGATTTTGAAGAAACCCCCACAATGACTGCTAAAAAATTGCTAAAAAATGTCAAAAAATAATAATCCAATATTTTTGAATAAATAAGTACTTCCAAACATGGCTTTTAGATGTTTTGGTGTTAAAACCCCTTTCTCTGCTACGGTCGATTTGTCTCTGTACATCTTTCTGTCATCGTCCATGTGCAGCCTTGACCCCTGTGGAGCAGCAGGATAAGCAAAGCCGCTCACACAGGGGTTGCGGGCTGGTTTCACTTGCTGCACACCTGCGTTCACTGGACCGTGCCCTCGTCAACCCAAAAGACGCAACTTTCAAAGTCAATAGAAACTATGCTTTTGCTATGACCATATGTAAAGGTATGTGCGAGATTATATGGAGGTTTTTATTTATTTATTATGCATTGCACACTTCTTGGTCCCAGATGCCGCTCTGCCCAGAGGAGGTCTGCACTCTGCAAGTACTGTAGTAACCTCCTAAAAAGTAGTAAGAATCTATTTCTATGGGTTTTCTTCTATTTTTCTTTAAGATATAAGACATATTTCCTTCCAGAACTAAATCCTTTCCCATTATAGGACTTGCTGACTCGACTTCAATTTTCATATGCTTTTTGCAGCTCCTCCCACACACTGCTCTCCAGTTTTTCTGCTCTCTCCTCTCTTTTGACTTTTGACTGTAATCAGTTTGTAGGCCCTATATAGAATGACAATAGTTCAGTTGGTTGAGCATTGGCCTTTGAGTCAGAAGGTTGTGGGTTCGAGCCCACCACACGACTTTCTCCACCGACTGATGTCTGCTGTCGTTGTGTCCTTGGCAAGACATTTAACCTCTGGAAACACCTGATGCCACAGTGGGGCGGCTGTGAAGGGCCAAACTGCCGTTGTGTCCTTAGGCAAGACACATGTCCTGAAAAGCGCTATATAAAACCGATGCATTATTCCTTCATGTCCCAGTTTAGCCACTTGTCTTAAACAAACATTTGATTTGAGTTATAAATTGACTCATTGAATCATAACTATTGTTGCCCCATTGATTCAATTATATTGTGGTTTTCTGAGTGTGGATTGAATTTTCTTTAAGTCATTAATTCTTACCAGATTATTACAGCCTTTAAATCCTCCTAGTCATGTTGTACCCTCTCTCCAGACACCAGCCTGTCTGATCCAACATAATGTCTCGGAGTTTGACACTTGTCCCCGTAGACCTCACACCAGCAGAGCCACCACGCCTTGTGCTTCCAGCCCAACACACTCACCATCTGTGGCACATTGCACTGTTTCCAAAGGATAAGCTGGAACAAATGTGTCCAATAGCATACACGGTGTCTAGTGCTGGCAAACACATACAACGGATATCTTCATCTATATCATTTCAATTGGATGTATGCTTTTTTTCTTTTAAGATATAAACTTTTTATTTATTTTTTATGCTGTAGTCTATAATATTTGTTCAATTGTGCACCTCCGACCTTATGATTAATGTGATCGTTAGATTTTTTTTCCCATAAGGATCTGCACCACGATGCCTCAGATATACCCTTCCGGGGATCATTTGAACATGCACATATTACAATACACGGTTATGTGGGTATGAAGTCCTACAACCATTCAAATACAGTGTATGCAGGCCTGCTCTAATCTTTTCTCCGTTATAGTATGAGAATATTGTGATTTCAAGTCATGAAAGTTTTTATTCAATTGGGTAAATTAGTTGAATTGTGTGGTTTAACCAAATATTTTCTTTTAGTTTAGAGTGAGACTAAAGTCTATGTAGCCGCACTTTACAATAAAGATAGAATAAACATGATTTTGAAAAAGCTGTGCAGTTGGCAACAATACTGATGTCCTACTCATTGGTTTGTGAGGAATGACTTTAACGGCAGAATATATCTCTCCCCTCAATGTGTACCTCCCCAAGGTTTCTCACTTTTCTCCCACTGGGTTTTAGAGTTTTTCCTTATCGATGCAGGAGGGTCTGTTAGACTGTTAGTGTCTAACAAGAAGGACTGTGGTGACGATCCAGGACACTTGTTCTACAACATGTATGGACATTTATCAACATTCATGGACATTGGTCAACTCCCTATGGACCAATACATATTTATGTGTTTGAACTGTTCGATTCTCTAATCTGTGTTAGCAATTTCAACGGTTTTGTTCAGTCCTCCAACATAACTACTGTTGTGATTTAGGGATATACAAGAATAAATCAAATTGACTCCTCTCCTCATTGCCCCTCTGCTCTTACCCCCTGCTCCTCTCAGGACTCTGATGGCCCTCCTAGACCAGAAGGGGTCCAGCCGCCCGTGTTCTCTGCGCTGCGTCAGTCCAGAGGGGTCTCTTCCACCTCCGAAGAGGAAGAGGCTCTCACAGAGAAGTTTCTCAAAATCAACTGCAAGTACATCACAGATGGAAAAGTAAGTTTCCGTACAGTAGAATATTTCAATACCTCATTATTGCATGATACTTTCCCCAGCCTAATTTAATTCACTAAGATACAAATAAAAATTATGTAAAAGTGGACATAGCATCTTCTTTGGCTGCAAACGTTCGTTATGAGATGAAAAATGTTCATTTTCCATGCTGCTGTTCAAAATGAGTGGAGCACACACAGCAGCAAGAGGATTCCAAGGCTATGCTAATATATTTTGGCACAAACTATATGTTCATAGACTTTTTCTGTCTTTTCAAACAAAATTATTTCCCTGAATTAGTGTTTGTAAATTCTCAGGTGAAATTACTTTCTTTACAACATGCAAAGAGCATTGTTTTATTCTGCTATTTTTTACTGTGGCTTTGACATCCGTCCTGGAGTAGATTATGTCATACCTCATTATTGCATTTTGTGTTTGGATTCCAAAATGACATTCAAAAACATGAAGGACCTTACTTTCCCCTCATTTCTGCTAAATTCACTAAGATACAAACACAAATGATGTAAAAGTGGATTTAGCATCTTCTTTGGCTTTAACTTTGGTTATGGTTTGGTATGATTTTTATTTTTTACAGGGACAGTGTAACATACACATTAAACAAAAGGAAAGATGCATTGTACCAGGTTGTAGCAGCAGTGCTAATTTACACCTGTAGTCCCTGAACAAGGTTAGATTTAGAAGGTTAGAAGGTTGATGAAGAGGTTTCATTCACAAACATTATTAATCATTATTTAACCATATGCAGCCTTTTCCTCCTAAAACCATGTATTAGTGTTTAATCTGCACATCCACATTCATTGTATCGAACTAGGTCTCTCGGGGACAAAATGACTGAAGTGGTCAGAACTGCCACTTTTGTTTAAGTGGGTACCATTTAATACTTTTTGTAACATTCACATTTATGTGATTTTCTGTTAAAAGGCAGGAAAAAAATGTGTTCAACTGATAGTATACTACAGAAATGTTTGTTTTGTATTTTGTTTGGTAAATACATTAATCTAACCCCCTTAATGAACCCCTATGAGGAAATGCTAATGGTTCATGTTTTGCTTTAACTCACTCGACTTAAAAAGTAAACTTCTTTAGCTCAGTAACCGTTTGTGCCACACTCACTATTGTGATTTTAATTGTGATATCATCTTTCTGACCAATCAGAAGCCTTCTGTTGCCAAATTTGCTAGCTAGTATAACAGATCGAGCTCCTGACTGGAGCTAGGTTTGCACACAGTTGGCTCCACATTTTGCTCAACTAGCCTGTTCCAGTTAGCTCTCATTGGCTTCTTCTGCATTAAGGCTAACACTATGGGTGACGTCAGCACTCTGTTTGTCCACTCTTAATCTTCGGTCTATGGTTAAACATGATTCCAGTCTTGCTATAGGATTGTGCCACTATTGTCTTTCTGTGTGTGTTCTCAGGGCGCAGTGAGCGGGGTGTTGTTGGTAACGCCAAACAACATCATGTTTGATCCGCACCGGATGGACCCCCTAGTGCAGGCCCATGGGTGTGAGGAGTACGGCATCATGTGTCCACTGGAAGAGGTGCAGTCGGCCGCCATCTTTAAAGAGATCACTGATCCCAAGATCAGAGAGACCGTGCCTGAGTAAGACGCAAAAGATTTAAACCAGATTTATATTTTTACTGATTAAGCCTGACTTTGTGAAGTCCATATTTAGATGGACACTAGAAAAATGTAGAGCCTCCATGTTCCACCCCCCAGTTATTATCAAGTCATTTTAGATGAGAATGTCAGTTTTATGACATTGTTCAAAATATGGATATTTTGCTACAGTGGTAGTTACGAAACAAAAGAAAAAGGGTAGAAAGACTTTTGCAATGGGAGTAGCCTTATGCATCTAAAACGAGTAGGCAGATTTACTCCTTCTCATTTCGATACATGTAGTTCATATACTTACATGCAACATTACAAGCCACAAATGGCCTCTTACTCACATTTACTCCGACATAAATCAGCCAGGCTTATATGTGCCTTTGCAAAGTAAATCTCCATTTTCCATTCACACAGAATCGCACCTAAGTCGCTGTAATCGCTGTCGTTCCCTGCTGCACGCCTAGTCAGATTGCATCAGCAGCGATCCAGCAGCCTAATCCTTTCCCCTTTGCAAAGCAAAATAAAAAGGAAGTTGCAATTACTGCAGGGTTAATGAAGTATGGCTGTGCCCTCCTACACTGTGATGGCTCACCTCACTATTCTCAAGGAAGCAGCCTCCGTCATGGTGTTTCCGCCCACTGTTTTGTCTGCAGTGCTTTTTCTGTAATTGTTTTTGCAGCTCAAGCAGATCCGTTGATATGTTTACATGGACAACAGAAAAACATCACACATTAATTCAGTCATGTCAATTCCCCTATGCTTCTACAAGATTCCAACATATTGTTCGAAATAGGAAGAACTATTTGGTTGGTTCCTACTGCATGTAGAGATAGACTCTCTTTTTGAGCTGCTTGTCGACAGGGACATAGATCTATCTGCTCTGGCTCCATGAATATAGTGATGGATTTTAATGTATTAATGTTGGTCATAAAAAAAAAATCAGATATTACAAGGGGCGACAGTAGCTCAGTTGGTAGAGCATTGGCCTTCAGGCCTGAAGGTCGTGGGTTCAATTCCCACCTCTACACCTTCTCCACCGACTCCCACTGATGACTGCTGTCGTTGTGTCCTTGAGCAAGACACTTAACCCCACTTTGCCCAAAGCCCCCACTGAAAGATCAAGGCTATGCTCACACTCAGAGAGCAGCCGTCCTCCTGTGGACTCACCACCTGCAGAGGGTCAGTGAGGGCTGGTGCTATGGGACTTGGGTGGCATCTCTGACTGCCACCTAGCCTGGAAAAATCCAGACTCACCGCTGTACCAGCCGGTGATCTCCCGCTGGATAAAAAAATACAGAGGGGAATCATTCTGGTCTCACCAGGCTAACTGCCACCCCCCTGACCCAGAAATGGATTAAAGGGTAGAAAATGGATGGATGGATGGATATTACAAGAAGCATTGTTTTTTTTCCCCCCAGTGACCTGGAGCCTCTGCCCTCTGAGAGACACCCATCGCAACAGAAGGAACCAGAGTCGCGCCTCAGGGAGTCTGGGGCCAATGACGGCAGCGGCAGCACGGCCCCACGCAGCACGGAGGGATCCATCTCTGAGGACGTCTTCACCGAGTCCGAGCTGTCCCCAATCCGCGAAGAAGAGCAGGCCTCCAACGAAGACCTGCACATGAACAAGTCCTCTGGAGCGTCCACGGAATCTGTGCAGACTGTGACCCAGGTGGAGACCCAGAGAGCGGAAACGCCTAAAGCAAAAGCAGACTCTCAGGTTGATCCCGGTGACCAACCTGTCTGTCAGATGACGGAAGACGCTGCACCCCCAGTTGTGACAAGCCCAGCCCCTGCAGAGGACAATCCACCAGACACTGCCACTGAAAACCAGTCAGCCATGGGATCCAAGCAGCACAGTGTAGAACAGGCACCAAGCACACCTACTACCACCACCACCAGCACTACTGCCAATAGCCAAGAGCAGGATCCCAGCAGCAGCCACTCGCGCCCAGGGTCTCAGAGCTCCGAGCCTTCCCCGACGTGTGCTTCAGGAAGCTCCACAAACACTGCTGTTCCATCTAGTCCAAAGGAGGAGGCCAACAACGGGACAGAAGCATCCAAAACGGACACTATGCAACAGGTCAAAGAGAGGAAGGAGAGTGAAGAAACGCAAAAAGATGGGTCGCAGGATTCAGCAGAAGGTAAGCAAATTACACAAGTTGACAGCCAAAAAATGGTCAGGGGTTTCTCAACTGATTTAGACTAATTTTGGTGTTCTGAGTCCGAATATATGCATTTTGCTCTATCAGGTCAACTTTTTGAGATACAGCCATAGTGTTACGGATTATGTACGTCTACGTTATTATGAATTCTGTTTATCAAATTTGATGGAGTAAATAAAAACTGAATGACTTTGGATACGTTGACTTTTATTTCTTGAGGAAAACGGAAAAAACGTCAAGGGTTTTTCAGCTGATGATCCGCAGAAATTTGTTTTTTGCACAAAATTGATTAAAAAAAATATTTCTGTTGCAAAAAATCCTGACCTGACTGAGCAAAACCAAGGTCATTTTCGGACTCAGAGCATCAAAATTAGTGTAATTCAGCTGGAAAACCCTGGACTATTTTCTAAAAATATTTTTTTGTTCCCCAGTGTTATCAAGCACAGTTGCGATAGACTACGACATTGAAACATGATTGCTAGATAAGTTATGTAAAGTTATGAGTGAAACTGCTTGTTCGGCAATTCTAATTCGTGAATGTTTTCGCACTATTTGCTGCAACTTTTTTCTATTAACTCTGCAATTCGGCCGATGTATGTGTTTTTATTTTGTTAGGAACCGGATTTGGACGCAGCTTTATCAGCTGTTGTCTTCAAACTATTATTATGATGCAGCATATTCCTTTTGCTTGGTGTAAACACCAGAGAGAAACACAAGGAAGTGCAAGGAAATACAGGACTGATTAGGGCTATTGTCAGAACTGTTTTTGGACCTATTATTTTGACCCCATCAAATACTGTTTGAGTTGGAATGTACGTTTATTGTCAAAGTAGATTGGATTTCCCCGAGTGCTTTACCTGAGTCAGCTGCGCTAAAGCACCCTACCATTAGATCATGTTGTGTCTTGTTAAAACGGTCATCTATCGTCTAATCCATCAGTTGTTGGTCAAGTTACAACATGAAAACCTGCATCTACTATTCAAATTCAGCTTGTATGTGGAAAATAATTTCCTAATTTTAAAATTCAGTTCTTAGGCAGAAGCTTAATAGTCTAGTTATTTCAGAATTCATATGTGAAACAAAAGGTAGAGCCCTGAAACTTGATATCAATAGAGATAGAGGACTACAAAAATCAAAAATCGAAAACAGAACAGAAAATAATAAAATACGTAATTTGTGGCAAGCAGGTTGCTCTATAGTAAGTGCCATGGATCCAGGAGCTCAAGGTTCAAAATGATGAAGTTGTCTTTAGTTATATGTCTTTAAAATACATTTTGTTCAGCCCTTCCACAACCCAAAAGTAAAAAATAAAATCAATCAAAAAAGCCAGCTGAATTTATGAAGGTTTTTGCCCTGATTTGATATAACTCGTCTTGTTGCGCTCTATTCTTTCTTCTGCATCAAAGTAAATGTCTCTGCTCAGTGAAATGTCTCATGTTGGCCCCTGATAGCCTTGTGTCCCTGTGTGGCTTGATTCTAGTAATGAGACTATAAAGATGCATGGAAAGTGCTGCCTCTGTTGTTGTTATCAATGTGTGTGGGCTAGCGAGGTGTTCATAGCTTCATGCAGCCTTTGATCTTTACCTTCGGTAGTCTGGACGGCACCTCTGGCCGATAAGCTAAAGCCTATCAAACGGCACAATACCACAAACATACTTTGTAACTGGAGGGGATTCGAGGCAGGGTTTTAACCTGCAATCAAAACACTTTCTTTATTTAGCATTGCTGAAAGTTGGCTTTGACATGGCATTAGACCAGTGATATTTCATATAAATCGCATATTTGGCTTTTCTCCTATTCTGATGCCTGCTGACTGTAACGAGCTTCCAAACAGCCTCTGAAATCTTAACTCTAACTAGATGAAAATACTTATGTCAGTACTACTACAGTGCCTTGCGAAAGTATCCGGCCCCCTTGAACCTTTCAACATTTTGCCACATTTCAAGCTTCAAACATAAAGATATAAAATTTTAATTTTTTTGTCATGAATCAACAACAAGTGGGAAACAATCGTGAAGTGGAACAACATTTATTGGATAATTTCAACTTTTTTAACAAATAAAAAACTGAAAAGTGGGGCGTGCAATATTATTCGGCCCCTTTACTTTCAGTGCAGCAAACTCACTCCAGAAGTTCAGTGAGGATCTTTGAATGATCCAATGTTGTCCTAAATGACTGATGATGATAAATAGAATGCACCTGTGTGTAATCAAGTCTCCGTATAAATGCACCTGCTCTTTGATAGTCTCAGGGTACTGTTTAAAGCGCAGAGAGAACCATGAAGACAAAGGAACACACCAGGCAGGTCCGAGATACTGTTGTTGAAAAGAGATGAAAAACATCTCAAGGAGCACAGTGCAAGCAATTATATTGAAATGGAAGGAGTATTAGACCACTGCAAATCTACCAAGACCCGGCCGTCCCTCCAAACTTTCATCTCAAACAAGGAGAAAACTGATCAGAGATGCAGCCAAGAGGCCCATGATCACTCTGGATGAACTGCAGATAACTACAGCTGAGGTGGGAGAGTCTGTCCATAGGACAACAATCAGTCGTGCACTGCACAATCTGGCCTTTATGGAATAGTGGCAAGAAGAAAGCCATTTCTCAAAGATATCCATAAAAAGTCTCGTTTAAAGTTTGCCACAAGCCACCTGGGAGACACACCAAACATGTAGAAGAAGGTGCTCTGGTCAGATGAAACCAAAATCGCACTTTTTGGCCACAATGCAAAACGATATGTTTGGCGTAAAAGCAACACAGCTCATCACCCTGAACACACCATCCCCACTGTCAAACATGGTGGTGGCAGCATCATGGTTTGGGCCTGCTTTTCTTCAGCAGGGACAGGGAAGATGGCTAAAATTGATGGGAAGATGGATGGAGCCAAATACAGGACCATTCTGGAAGAAAACCTGTTGGAGTCTGCAAAAGACCTGAGACTGGGACGGAGATTTATCTTCCAACAGGACAATGATCCAAAACATAAAGCCAAATCTACAATGGAATGGTTCACAAATAGACGTATCCAGGTGTTAGAATGGCCAAGTCAAAGTCCAGACCTGAATCCAATCGAGAATCTGTGGAAAGAGCTGAAGACTGCTGTTCACAAACGCTCTCCATCCAACCTCACTGAGCTTGAGCTGTTTTGCGAAAGAAGAATGGGCAAGAATTCCAGTCTCTCGATGTGCAAAACTGATAGAGACATACCCCAAGCGACTTGCAGCTGTAAGTGCAGCAAAAGGTGGCGCTGTGGGACGAATAAAGGAATTCTTATCTTATCTTATCTTACAAAGTATTAGCGCAAGGGGGCCGAATAATATTGCACGCCCCACTTTTCAGTTTTTTATTTGTTAAAAAAGTTTAAATTATCCAATAAATTTCGTTCCACTTCGCGATTGTGTCCCACTTGTTGTTGATTCTTGACAAAAAATGTAATTTTTATATCTTTGAAGCCTGAAATGTGACAAAATGTTGAAAGGTTCAATACTTTCGCAAGGCACTGTATTACTATTAAAGGAGCTGTATGTACAAATCTGGCCAAAAGTGGTACAACCTCTTCCACTCTCCCTGACTCAGGTTGCCGGATATGCAGACAAATCCAGCTGGGACCATAATATCTGAATAGACAAGAGTTTTGTCAACAACAAATCCAGAACCAACACCTTTATCACAAAGGCCCGATAGAAATCCTCTTTTTATTCCTTGATTTGAGAATCCTAACGAGACCTTTTTTAGTTCTGTGGCCACATGATACTTTACCAATAGGATTAGCTCAACGGGGTGAGTTCTGGCAACCCGGATCGGAGACTTTCTGATTGGTAAAATGGTGGAGGGTGGGACATTGAAATGAAAACAATAAAAAGATTTAGGGGCTGTAAATCCAATTTTGAAATTAGAATATCTCGGCTGAACTACTTTTATCAGTTAAGGAAGAATTCGAAAATAACATGATTTATTAATGCCTTTTGACATATTAGGGCATATGTGTCTGTGCATTAGGTGCACAGACACATTTTCAGCAAAGACTGCAAACTTGTTCAAATAATGTATTATTGTATGTATACATTATATCTATACAATGTCTTTGCTATTGATGGATTCATTGCTCCAATCTGTGAACCAGAATGGTTCATGTTTATAAATGTAATCAGCAGTTGTTTTCTTTTTGGTTTTGCAATTAGGGGCAAGCACTCATAAGTATTTCCTTACTTCTGCTTGCTCCTTTTGAGCTCTATACAGTATGTTTTTTAAGTTCTGATTGTATACACAACTGTAGTTATGATTTGTCCTTGTATGTACTGTTTAAACTGCTCAAATAAAGTAAAGTAATCAGTAATCAGGGCCATTAATTATGATTTGACATGAAAATCTTACATATTGCAACTTAAATCTGGGGTGAGTAAAAAAAAAATCATAGTGTTATTTGTCCCTACAAAAAGAGGCTTGTAAAGGTAACATTTTGTGAAGAAATCCGACCACAACAGGCCGTCTTTATCAGAAAACATGTTATCTTTTGTAGTGGTTGTAGGAAAGAGTCTTGTAGGCTGAGAGCTGATTGGCTGGATTGAAAATTCTGATCTAAAGGCCCAAAGACACATGCATCTAAGTTAATGATGGAAACGAACTCTTTTGAAAGGCAAGAAAGTAGTTAGATAGATTTTAGAACATATTTTTATGGGTTTTGAAGTCAGCTTTAAATATGACTTACTTAACAAACAATATGACTTATTGCCTATATTTCTCTAACTAAGTCACACTCATTTTTTTCGACTTACTCCACTCTGACTGTATGGTGTTTTTTTTTTGTATGTGACAAAAGCCTTTGCGTGTCCGCCTCAATGATTCACTCTTTCCCACTCGCTTGTTAGACTTGTCACTGTGGTCCCTCAATGATTTCTGACTCTGAAGAAACAGACCAAAACAGTAGGAGAGAAATTATCCTTTTCCTCCTCTGCAATGATTGTCCCGCAGAGAGCTGGGTTACAAAAGCTCCCCTAATGCACGGGCGTCTCTCAGCAGGCCTGCCCTTTATTCTGTGCACATTAGCTCCAGCGGCAGCAGCTTCAAAAACACAATGCATTAAGATGAGTTTGAATTCAAAATCAGTGGGTTCCCTTAAGATCTTAGAAGTCCATTTTAATTAGTGTTTTCTGTCGTTTGCCCAGCAGCATGACACAGCTTTTTCAATATATATGATACAACTGTGGCCCTTTTGATTTATATTCCAGGGTTGGTTGTATTTAGTGGTAGGTGACGTAATCCAAATTGTTGTTCAATCATTTGTGCCACACGCTATCACTATCAGTCTGAACTCCGGCGTCACTGGTAGTCTGCTGGAAATGTGTAAGCTTTTTTTTTTGTGTGATGTCTTTCTTATCTGGACCTTGTGTCTGAAATAAAGTTTGTTATGGAGTCATTGCTGTTACACTTTTATATTCACTCATATAGCCCAATTCAATGGGAAATCTCTAACTTGTCCAGCAGTAAGGTCATTTTCACAGTTTTATTGTAAAATGTCTCCTTTTGTGTGGCGTGGAGGTGCTAATAGGCGAGGGTGAGTTGTGTAGATGGATACAGGCTCATCCTAAAAGCTGGTTCAAAAACAAAACATGAATCGTCAGTTCAAAAAAGAAGCCGCTCCAAAAAAACAAAAACATTTTTATTGTTCTGCTTCTGTTGTTGTGTGGATATTTTTCCCACTGACAAAGAGGGTTTTGAGTAGACCTTGTAGTTCATATTCCTGTTAATATTGTTAGAGGACAAGAATGTGTTGTGGCAGTTAGAGATAATGGGTATGCCTGTCTCGAAGCTGATTTGATCTTGATTTCTGATTCGATAAAGAAACTAAGACGTCTACGAAACACATAATAACTGGTATGACAATAACACCATCGCCACTCTCCGTCCTTCTAACTTTTTTCATGTAACCGAGTGAGGCAATCTCTTCTACATTTACCCATTTCAGGGACAGAATGACAAAAATGCACTATATGAATAAAGATTAATTACTTACAATTTCTATAACTAAGCCAAAAGATTCTATTTTTCTGCAGTCCCATGATCCCTTAAATATAAGTGTCAACATTCGCGACCTTCGAATGTTGAGATTGTTTACATTTTTGGCACCGCCCCACTACTGGCTCAGAGCACATTACGACTAGGCCTTATTCTAGCGACCCAAAATGAATCACTGTTTGTTTGTGTTTTATGGTTTTATATCCCTGCAACACTCCCTTACTCATAAGCATACACTGAGACTCGGCCAGCGTCTTGTTTTTGCACATCGAAAGAACATCTTGTAGCACTACATTAAATAGATCCTTTGTTTACGGAGGCTGTGATGTAACGCAGTGGGGCTTGCGCGGCCTTGTGACACTCTGAGTAATATGTTTTGCAGGCTCAGGGTCGGCGGAGAGGAGGAAGCAGCGCTCTCACAAGTTCCTGAGTCTGCGAGTGGGGAAGCCCATGAAGAAGACGTTTGTGTCCAACGCCAGCGCCTCCATGCAGCAGTATGCGCAGCTGGGGAAGAAGCACGAGTACTGGTTCGCTGTCCCCCAAGAGAGGTCAGGGTCCGGGCTGGTTTTAATTGATCTTATGTCACAATTATTGGGATGAGTGACAAAAAACACACACACACACACAATTTCAATTTTCATTATCCACTTGTCACTTGCTGGGAACTAAATATGAAGTAACTAAATATGTTTTTTTTTTTTTTTTCATCCCAACAGAAAGAGTCTTCAGACCAAATGCTGTCTTCATTAGAAAACATGTTATCTTTAACGTGCTAAGAGCTGATTGGCTGAGTGAGGCCTGGCACTCTTTTCAGTGAAAAAGTTGATCTAAAGATATGATAAATATATGATATTGGCATGAAACGTATACTGATACAACCCAACAGTTATATGAGAGCTACTGTATATAGTTAGATATTATAGCGGTTTCAAATGTAGGTGCCTCAGCGTTGTGTCTTAGCAAACCTGAGAAACATTTACATTTATATATGTTTTTCCTTTGTCTCTGTGCCTCTTTTCGCTGTATATTATACATAGGGTGCCTGGGTTTGCATGTTTGTTAGTGTAACTCAATCAAATATGCACTTTTGATTAGAAAAGGCTTCCTCTGCGCCCTCAGGCCGTCTCCATTCACAGCCTCACCAGACTTGCCATTTATTTTTTAATACAACACAACAGAAACTGATTCTAAGCTCTGGGAATACCACTGTAAAGGATATGCGGTTTAAACTAGTCATAGATGGATATTTAAAATGTATGAACTCCTCCTGACCCAAGCTAAAATGGGTTGTGTTTAAATGATCTTGATGTAACTGCAACATCGTATCATCTGCCATGCTTGATTGCTTGTGTAGATTTGTGCTCGCCAAGTCAGCAGTGGATTTTAATCGCATTACAGAAGTTGACACTAGGATGAGACACTATTGCAAGAACATATGTATATTCCCTTCTACTTAATGTGAAATAATATGTAATAAATTAGTGTGAGTAGTGAGCGCTAGTAACATAATTTGACATGTCTATTTTGGGCAAACGCAGTGTGCCAGATCCAGACGTGAAATGAAATGTCTATCTTTATGCCATCCAACCTTATTTATTCAGGTTATCATTATTCAGGGTAATGCAAATGTATAATGTAGTAAACATGTGTTTTAAAAAAAAAACACCGTCTGAAAGTAAGCTTATGACATTGTAGAAACTACTATGAAATCCTTAAACATTTATTGTAATAATATGCGTTCAAATTTAAGGGGGAAATAGTCAGGTGAACCAGTGTACAGTTGTTTGGTGCTTAACATTTCTGTCTTTACCGCATTAGTCGGTCAAGCTTGTTGTTTTCTTTCTATCTTGTTAGAACAAGAATTCCTGAATATTATATTCAACACAGGCAGTTTTACGATTCTGTTCTTCTTGTTCTGTTTTGAAAATATATTTTTTACAATAAAAAAAACTTGATCATGTGGTATCTATAAATGACCACAGTGATTTTTTGAGTGACTTACTATTTGCAAGCAGACATATACAGTTTACGTATGTGTAACGAAGCAAGCTGCAACGCTGAAAGCAGTCATTCACTGGTCTTTTTGTTCAGACACCGTTGGCCTGACCTAGATGGGAGGCGACCCGCATGATGTGTCTTTAAGTGTCCCTGCATTAGAGCAGGGCAGAAGGGACCGCTATCGAATGAGCATAACAGTGTTTACAAGCTTTTATGTCCACTGAAGAGCAGTGCCTCTGAGCAGTACACTTTTCAAAGTTTCTTACCGTGAGAGAGTGAAGAGGGGCTTTTGATTAATGTGGAATAATATTAAGTAAGTGTAGGCCTTTGATATTTTATAAGCTTATGATGTATGTTTATATTCAATTCCACTTTCAAACTGGGCCTTTCTGAGTGGAATTTGCATGTTCTATCCATGTCTGCATAGGTTTTGCTCTACATACTCCGGTTTCCCCTAACAGAAAAAACATGTACAATAGTTCAGGGTGAATGAGTGTGTGTTTGTGACTGCGACTGTGGAACAACGGATGGAAATTAGCCCAAAGCTACAGTCTGGTATTTACAAGACTGCTGTTCAATAATACACACTGTTCTATTCAAACACTAGCTCTCATGGCTATATCTGGTATATTTTACATATGCACATGTAGATTAATGTGCTCTGTTCCATTCAAATAAACAAATACATTTACAGGAATTTTACTGGTTACCTGAAACCTTAAACTCTGCGCCATAGATGCAATAAAGTTCACAGCGCCCTAAATGCATTAAAGTTCAATACAAAGTACTCTTGTTCTGTGTGTCAAGTTTTGGCAAAATAATTTGAATAAAATAATTTCTGTTATGAACCAACTTTGAATAGAGTGTTTTGAAGCAAACTTTTGTCTTGACTTTTTTTTTTTTTTTTAAACAGGTCAGACCACCTGTACGTCTTCTTCATGCAGTGGAGTCCAGACATGTATGGGGAGGGGGTTCGTGGAATGGGACAAGAGCCTGGTTTATGGTCATTAAGAAAAACGAGGCTTCACAAAATTCTGAAGACGACCCCATCACAGACCTCAATGTGAAAGAGTGGGAGGTAATGTCAAAACATGCTTAAGAAAAACTAAGTGAACATTTTTGTATTGCCATCAGCCATTATCACATATATTTATTAAATTAATAGTGTATGTGTTACTGGCTAATCCATATTCTATATACTTTTATCTGTTTATTATTATGTGGTGCTTTCAAGTGAGTTGAATCACATTGTGTAATTGTGCAAGTAACATTCACAATCCAATACATTGTGAATTAATTTTCTTTCCATTTGAAATGTTTAGATGCAAATTTCAGTTAATTTATGCTTTGTATTATTCATCGTAAAGTATATTTAATTGATGTCAACTCTTGCTTTGCTTGGAAATGTGCTGCTTAGTGCTTCCAACAAAGTATTTTGCATGTTTGTGTAAATGTTCACAATGTTGTGGGTCAGTGTACGTCATGTTGAGTGTTGTTGGTCACACCAGACAATTTATTGTTCAAAACAATACCTTTTTATGTCTTATGTCAGAATTCCTCAATCGCTGTTCTCTCTCCAATTGTTTTTACCATACTTATTTTGCTTATGGTAGCAGAAGAGTCAACCATGACTTGCAAACATGTATGGACTCTTCTTGAACTATTCATTTTTTTAAAGTTATAAACTATTTTGCTTTTTTACAAGTGGCTTTGACGGTGACTGTCCCTTTAAATATCTCCTGTGTCTTCCGGATTTCGTCCTGCCTCTTAGTTGCGCTCATCCAATCAAAAGCGGGGTTTGCTCCCGTCGCATGATCTCATTGGCTCCTGGCGCTGTCACTCTGGTGACGCGGGGAGAGACCCCGTTGGAGAGTAAAAATGTTTCTATTTTCGTCCCGCGGGCTGCCAGCCTTCATCAACCAACTCTGTCTTCACATACAGTGCCCAGGAGAACTTAAATCATCTGGAATGTGACGGCTGCAGTACCTTCCTCTGAGGGAGAGATATGTTTTCTAGGAGAGTGAAGAACCCAGAGAATCGACTGACTCCTAAGTATTCCTGTGTACGACCCTGTGTCTCATTCAAGTTTTCTGTCTTCGCGGCTGTTTACACTCTTTAGCTCGCTGGCCTTTTGCTAACTAGCCTCACTGCTAGCCACCGGTTAAATGAACTAAATCAAACAGTGTAAACAAAGTGGTTGATCCTGTCTGGCAGTGACCGCTGTCGTGTGCGGTTTGTCGGTGTGTTTACGCTGAGGTTTGGTCTGATGTTGGCTAAAAGTTTCCAAAACAAGATTATAGCTATAATAATGAATGTTTTATAAGTTGCTTCAGTTTTGACTTGGGAAAGGCGTGATGGTGTTTACATTTGAGATCAGACCAGCCCTGTCCTGTTTCAGCTTTCTCTGCATTAAAATGTGTCTCGGCTTGTGTTTGTGTCAATCTCGTCCCGCTGAAGGATAGGCAGATTCTTATTCTTCTTGTCGGGCTGCTAACTCACTGGGCAGACTAACTTAAGTCTCCTGCTGAAGGTGTTGTCCTATATTATTTATGAAGACTGAAGCTTACCCTATCTGCTGCATTATTGAACAGCTGTAAAGGTGCTGCTTGTTGCCACCTTAGTTATTTACACTCTGACAAGAACTACAGATGCTTAACTAATGTCTTAAGAGTTGTGAAAGTGTCTGTTTTCTTTATCTTAGGCACAATCATCTGTTGTATGTATCATGTTGACATGGTTTATGGCGCACTTGAGAGTGCGTCCTTAGGAAGCTGCTGTTCTCTGTGGAGAATGCAACAGCGTGGGGTGAAAGTTTGTTGGATATCATCCAGTCATTTTGTTGCTCAGTCTGGATCACGTTCCATATTATCGTTTGTGTTGTTTATGGACTGTTTTGGCAGAACTCATTTTTCTCACCGTTTTCAATGTAGTCTTCAAAAAAGAAACGTGAGATACACAAACATGCAAAATTCCCTTTCTAGTGCTTGAATAGATTAAAATTACGTAGAAGCATTAATCACAAACTTGCTCTACCAGCAGAGTTGTTGAATATTCCAAAGGCCAGCGGCTGAAGTGGCAGTTTTATGTTTGCACCTGTTCCTGTCTTTGTACACCAGGTAGTGTCTCTGACGGAGTACCACCGTCGAATTGATGCACTAAACAGTGAAGATCTGCGCTCACTCTGCAAGCGACTCCAGGTGCCATGATTCACTGACTGCCCCACTGTAGCCATCCTGCCCCTGCCTCCACTGTACACATCAACAATCAACAAGCGCCCCTAGGCTGTGCTCTCACTGCAGACTAAGCTTCCTCCTCCACTTTAATTAAGGTTACAGGTTTATAGTTGTAATAGGTAAGGTACTCCTCTGCATCTATAGGGAAATTTGTCCCATGTATTTTACTCATTAATGCGGAGGATGTGGTCTGCTGCAGTAATGTTTGCACCAATTTAGCTCAGGTATGTAGTAATCATTTTGCATGTTTTGCAGGTGGTGAGGATTCTGAATTCTGTTAGCTCCAACTACCACGATTTAAAAAGAAGCCAATTTTGCTTTAAACAACATTTTTTTATCATTCCATGGCAGAAAATTGGCCTGTTTTGTGTTTGTCACGTGACGGTAGTCTTATCTTCATGCGTCAGGCTTTCTGTCTAAGCCGAGCTGTTTAAAAGCTATACAGCACAAGGCCATCAGGGAATTCTTTAGTTTGTTGGAATTCTTCAAAAGACTGAAGTTTTAAAATACGTTTTGAGGTTAAAATGTAGTGGCTGTAGAAGCAGAGATGCTTGGTTAGGGGTAGTAAGAGGAGCACTATCAAACAAAGTGGTGTTTGAGTCAGCGATAGGCTGCAGAAAGACAGGGAGACAATGCAGGTAGGAGTGATTTGAATGAGCAATGAAACGTGAGCTCATCCCGGGAACCGCTGGGGAAGCAACTACAATTAGATTTTGTTATTTAGGAAGATAAAGCAGATAAGTCTAACAGTGGCTGGTCAGAGAAACCGCACCAGAAACAGCCGAATGCTAATTATTCATTTGGCTGAGTTCATCTTCCCCCTTTCACAACTGTCGCTTTTCTTGTGATCCCAATCTTGCCAATCTCAACCCAGTCATCTGGCATTCACAAGTGGCATCCAGCTGTCATATTCAGTCCCTAATCGGTTTATTGATAGAAAATCTCTGCCCTATTATTTTCCCTCCAAATGATACACCAAAATAGATGTTTTTGTACCTCTGGTGTAATGTCTACTATACTAGCGGTTATAAAATGAGTTGTTATGTATTTTATTGTTACCTCAGCCCTGCTCTGCTTTTGTAGTTGTAAAACTCAGATAATTGCGACACAAATTTTGATTCACATATTTATAGTGTATTAAGAGATCAGTCTGCATTGGTGTTAACCCCAATCAGACACTATTTCTGAATTTGGGCTTTTAACAAGTTAGGTCGCAACTAATCCATTTGAAGTAATTGACGACTAGAAATTAGAAATCATGTTGTACTTGAAGACTAGAGAGAAGAGTTTTTATATAGTCCCTTTGAATTAAATACGTTTTAAGTTGAAATACTTTTGGGAAATTGACAAAGTAAAAGATACTAATTGGATATTTTAAGATAACATCCAAGTAGAACAAACAGTATTTGTGGTCACATCTGACTGGTTGTTGCTCTTCTAGATCACCACCAAGGAAGAGGTCAACTCCAAACATGGCACGTCCATCAAGGCCGAGCTGGAACCGGAAACCTTCAAACCCAATCTCAAGGAGCCCAGCGACCTCCTGGAGGCCGACCAGATCGAGAAGGTAACGTCCTGTGACATCTGGACAGGGCTTTAACTCGATCTATTTTGATGCCTGCTGACTGTAACGAGCTTCCAAACAGCCTCTGAAATCTTAACTCTAACTAGATGAAAATACTTATGTTATATTTGCTATTTTATTTATTTTCAGTACTACTACAGTGCCTTGCGAAAGTATCCGGCCCCCTTGAACCTTTCAACATTTTGCCACATTTCAAGCTTCAAACATAAAGATATAAAATTTTAATTTTTTTGTCATGAATCAACAACAAGTGGGAAACAATCGTGAAGTGGAACAACATTTATTGGATAATTTCAACTTTTTTAACAAATAAAAAACTGAAAAGTGGGGCGTGCAATATTATTCGGCCCCTTTACTTTCAGTGCAGCAAACTCACTCCAGAAGTTCAGTGAGGATCTTTGAATGATCCAATGTTGTCCTAAATGACTGATGATGATAAATAGAATGCACCTGTGTGTAATCAAGTCTCCGTATAAATGCACCTGCTCTTTGATAGTCTCAGGGTACTGTTTAAAGCGCAGAGAGAACCATGAAGACAAAGGAACACACCAGGCAGGTCCGAGATACTGTTGTTGAAAAGAGATGAAAAACATCTCAAGGAGCACAGTGCAAGCAATTATATTGAAATGGAAGGAGTATTAGACCACTGCAAATCTACCAAGACCCGGCCGTCCCTCCAAACTTTCATCTCAAACAAGGAGAAAACTGATCAGAGATGCAGCCAAGAGGCCCATGATCACTCTGGATGAACTGCAGATAACTACAGCTGAGGTGGGAGAGTCTGTCCATAGGACAACAATCAGTCGTGCACTGCACAATCTGGCCTTTATGGAATAGTGGCAAGAAGAAAGCCATTTCTCAAAGATATCCATAAAAAGTCTCGTTTAAAGTTTGCCACAAGCCACCTGGGAGACACACCAAACATGTAGAAGAAGGTGCTCTGGTCAGATGAAACCAAAATCGCACTTTTTGGCCACAATGCAAAACGATATGTTTGGCGTAAAAGCAACACAGCTCATCACCCTGAACACACCATCCCCACTGTCAAACATGGTGGTGGCAGCATCATGGTTTGGGCCTGCTTTTCTTCAGCAGGGACAGGGAAGATGGCTAAAATTGATGGGAAGATGGATGGAGCCAAATACAGGACCATTCTGGAAGAAAACCTGTTGGAGTCTGCAAAAGACCTGAGACTGGGACGGAGATTTATCTTCCAACAGGACAATGATCCAAAACATAAAGCCAAATCTACAATGGAATGGTTCACAAATAGACGTATCCAGGTGTTAGAATGGCCAAGTCAAAGTCCAGACCTGAATCCAATCGAGAATCTGTGGAAAGAGCTGAAGACTGCTGTTCACAAACGCTCTCCATCCAACCTCACTGAGCTTGAGCTGTTTTGCGAAAGAAGAATGGGCAAGAATTCCAGTCTCTCGATGTGCAAAACTGATAGAGACATACCCCAAGCGACTTGCAGCTGTAAGTGCAGCAAAAGGTGGCGCTGTGGGACGAATAAAGGAATTCTTATCTTATCTTATCTTACAAAGTATTAGCGCAAGGGGGCCGAATAATATTGCACGCCCCACTTTTCAGTTTTTTATTTGTTAAAAAAGTTTAAATTATCCAATAAATTTCGTTCCACTTCGCGATTGTGTCCCACTTGTTGTTGATTCTTGACAAAAAATGTAATTTTTATATCTTTGAAGCCTGAAATGTGACAAAATGTTGAAAGGTTCAATACTTTCGCAAGGCACTGTATTACTATTAAAGGAGCTGTATGTACAAATCTGGCCAAAAGTGGTACAACCTCTTCCACTCTCCCTGACTCAGGTTGCCGGATATGCAGACAAATCCAGCTGGGACCATAATATCTGAATAGACAAGAGTTTTGTCAACAACAAATCCAGAACCAACACCTTTATCACAAAGGCCCGATAGAAATCCTCTTTTTATTCCTTGATTTGAGAATCCTAACGAGACCTTTTTTAGTTCTGTGGCCACATGATACTTTACCAATAGGATTAGCTCAACGGGGTGAGTTCTGGCAACCCGGATCGGAGACTTTCTGATTGGTAAAATGGTGGAGGGTGGGACATTGAAATGAAAACAATAAAAAGATTTAGGGGCTGTAAATCCAATTTTGAAATTAGAATATCTCGGCTGAACTACTTTTATCAGTTAAGGAAGAATTCGAAAATAACATGATTTATTAATGCCTTTTGACATATTAGGGCATATGTGTCTGTGCATTAGGTGCACAGACACATTTTCAGCAAAGACTGCAAACTTGTTCAAATAATGTATTATTGTATGTATACATTATATCTATACAATGTCTTTGCTATTGATGGATTCATTGCTCCAATCTGTGAACCAGAATGGTTCATGTTTATAAATGTAATCAGCAGTTGTTTTCTTTTTGGTTTTGCAATTAGGGGCAAGCACTCATAAGTATTTCCTTACTTCTGCTTGCTCCTTTTGAGCTCTATACAGTATGTTTTTTAAGTTCTGATTGTATACACAACTGTAGTTATGATTTGTCCTTGTATGTACTGTTTAAACTGCTCAAATAAAGTAAAGTAATCAGTAATCAGGGCCATTAATTATGATTTGACATGAAAATCTTACATATTGCAACTTAAATCTGGGGTGAGTAAAAAAAAAATCATAGTGTTATTTGTCCCTACAAAAAGAGGCTTGTAAAGGTAACATTTTGTGAAGAAATCCGACCACAACAGGCCGTCTTTATCAGAAAACATGTTATCTTTTGTAGTGGTTGTAGGAAAGAGTCTTGTAGGCTGAGAGCTGATTGGCTGGATTGAAAATTCTGATCTAAAGGCCCAAAGACACATGCATCTAAGTTAATGATGGAAACGAACTCTTTTGAAAGGCAAGAAAGTAGTTAGATAGATTTTAGAACATATTTTTATGGGTTTTGAAGTCAGCTTTAAATATGACTTACTTAACAAACAATATGACTTATTGCCTATATTTCTCTAACTAAGTCACACTCATTTTTTTCGACTTACTCCACTCTGACTGTATGGTGTTTTTTTTTTTGTATGTGACAAAAGCCTTTGCGTGTCCGCCTCAATGATTCACTCTTTCCCACTCGCTTGTTAGACTTGTCACTGTGGTCCCTCAATGATTTCTGACTCTGAAGAAACAGACCAAAACAGTAGGAGAGAAATTATCCTTTTCCTCCTCTGCAATGATTGTCCCGCAGAGAGCTGGGTTACAAAAGCTCCCCTAATGCACGGGCGTCTCTCAGCAGGCCTGCCCTTTATTCTGTGCACATTAGCTCCAGCGGCAGCAGCTTCAAAAACACAATGCATTAAGATGAGTTTGAATTCAAAATCAGTGGGTTCCCTTAAGATCTTAGAAGTCCATTTTAATTAGTGTTTTCTGTCGTTTGCCCAGCAGCATGACACAGCTTTTTCAATATATATGATACAACTGTGGCCCTTTTGATTTATATTCCAGGGTTGGTTGTATTTAGTGGTAGGTGACGTAATCCAAATTGTTGTTCAATCATTTGTGCCACACGCTATCACTATCAGTCTGAACTCCGGCGTCACTGGTAGTCTGCTGGAAATGTGTAAGCTTTTTTTTTGTGTGATGTCTTTCTTATCTGGACCTTGTGTCTGAAATAAAGTTTGTTATGGAGTCATTGCTGTTACACTTTTATATTCACTCATATAGCCCAATTCAATGGGAAATCTCTAACTTGTCCAGCAGTAAGGTCATTTTCACAGTTTTATTGTAAAATGTCTCCTTTTGTGTGGCGTGGAGGTGCTAATAGGCGAGGGTGAGTTGTGTAGATGGATACAGGCTCATCCTAAAAGCTGGTTCAAAAACAAAACATGAATCGTCAGTTCAAAAAAGAAGCCGCTCCAAAAAAACAAAAACATTTTTATTGTTCTGCTTCTGTTGTTGTGTGGATATTTTTCCCACTGACAAAGAGGGTTTTGAGTAGACCTTGTAGTTCATATTCCTGTTAATATTGTTAGAGGACAAGAATGTGTTGTGGCAGTTAGAGATAATGGGTATGCCTGTCTCGAAGCTGATTTGATCTTGATTTCTGATTCGATAAAGAAACTAAGACGTCTACGAAACACATAATAACTGGTATGACAATAACACCATCGCCACTCTCCGTCCTTCTAACTTTTTTCATGTAACCGAGTGAGGCAATCTCTTCTACATTTACCCATTTCAGGGACAGAATGACAAAAATGCACTATATGAATAAAGATTAATTACTTACAATTTCTATAACTAAGCCAAAAGATTCTATTTTTCTGCAGTCCCATGATCCCTTAAATATAAGTGTCAACATTCGCGACCTTCGAATGTTGAGATTGTTTACATTTTTGGCACCGCCCCACTACTGGCTCAGAGCACATTACGACTAGGCCTTATTCTAGCGACCCAAAATGAATCACTGTTTGTTTGTGTTTTATGGTTTTATATCCCTGCAACACTCCCTTACTCATAAGCATACACTGAGACTCGGCCAGCGTCTTGTTTTTGCACATCGAAAGAACATCTTGTAGCACTACATTAAATAGATCCTTTGTTTACGGAGGCTGTGATGTAACGCAGTGGGGCTTGCGCGGCCTTGTGACACTCTGAGTAATATGTTTTGCAGGCTCAGGGTCGGCGGAGAGGAGGAAGCAGCGCTCTCACAAGTTCCTGAGTCTGCGAGTGGGGAAGCCCATGAAGAAGACGTTTGTGTCCAACGCCAGCGCCTCCATGCAGCAGTATGCGCAGCTGGGGAAGAAGCACGAGTACTGGTTCGCTGTCCCCCAAGAGAGGTCAGGGTCCGGGCTGGTTTTAATTGATCTTATGTCACAATTATTGGGATGAGTGACAAAAAACACACACACACACACAATTTCAATTTTCATTATCCACTTGTCACTTGCTGGGAACTAAATATGAAGTAACTAAATATGTTTTTTTTTTTTTTTTCATCCCAACAGAAAGAGTCTTCAGACCAAATGCTGTCTTCATTAGAAAACATGTTATCTTTAACGTGCTAAGAGCTGATTGGCTGAGTGAGGCCTGGCACTCTTTTCAGTGAAAAAGTTGATCTAAAGATATGATAAAGATATGATATTGGCATGAAACGTATACTGATACAACCCAACAGTTATATGAGAGCTACTGTATATAGTTAGATATTATAGCGGTTTCAAATGTAGGTGCCTCAGCGTTGTGTCTAGCAAACCTGAGAAACATTTACATTTATATATGTTTTTCCTTTGTCTCTGTGCCTCTTTTCGCTGTATATTATACATAGGGTGCCTGGGTTTGCATGTTTGTTAGTGTAACTCAATCAAATATGCACTTTTGATTAGAAAAGGCTTCCTCTGCGCCCTCAGGCCGTCTCCATTCACAGCCTCACCAGACTTGCCATTTATTTTTTAATACAACACAACAGAAACTGATTCTAAGCTCTGGGAATACCACTGTAAAGGATATGCGGTTTAAACTAGTCATAGATGGATATTTAAAATGTATGAACTCCTCCTGACCCAAGCTAAAATGGGTTGTGTTTAAATGATCTTGATGTAACTGCAACATCGTATCATCTGCCATGCTTGATTGCTTGTGTAGATTTGTGCTCGCCAAGTCAGCAGTGGATTTTAATCGCATTACAGAAGTTGACACTAGGATGAGACACTATTGCAAGAACATATGTATATTCCCTTCTACTTAATGTGAAATAATATGTAATAAATTAGTGTGAGTAGTGAGCGCTAGTAACATAATTTGACATGTCTATTTTGGGCAAACGCAGTGTGCCAGATCCAGACGTGAAATGAAATGTCTATCTTTATGCCATCCAACCTTATTTATTCAGGTTATCATTATTCAGGGTAATGCAAATGTATAATGTAGTAAACATGTGTTTTAAAAAAAAAACACCGTCTGAAAGTAAGCTTATGACATTGTAGAAACTACTATGAAATCCTTAAACATTTATTGTAATAATATGCGTTCAAATTTAAGGGGGAAATAGTCAGGTGAACCAGTGTACAGTTGTTTGGTGCTTAACATTTCTGTCTTTTACCGCATTAGTCGGTCAAGCTTGTTGTTTTCTTTCTATCTTGTTAGAACAAGAATTCCTGAATATTATATTCAACACAGGCAGTTTTACGATTCTGTTCTTCTTGTTCTGTTTTGAAAATATATTTTTTACAATAAAAAAAACTTGATCATGTGGTATCTATAAATGACCACAGTGATTTTTTGAGTGACTTACTATTTGCAAGCAGACATATACAGTTTACGTATGTGTAACGAAGCAAGCTGCAACGCTGAAAGCAGTCATTCACTGGTCTTTTTGTTCAGACACCGTTGGCCTGACCTAGATGGGAGGCGACCCGCATGATGTGTCTTTAAGTGTCCCTGCATTAGAGCAGGGCAGAAGGGACCGCTATCGAATGAGCATAACAGTGTTTACAAGCTTTTATGTCCACTGAAGAGCAGTGCCTCTGAGCAGTACACTTTTCAAAGTTTCTTACCGTGAGAGAGTGAAGAGGGGCTTTTGATTAATGTGAATAATATTAAGTAAGTGTAGGCCTTTGATATTTTATAAGCTTATGATGTATGTTTATATTCAATTCCACTTTCAAACTGGGCCTTTCTGAGTGGAATTTGCATGTTCTATCCATGTCTGCATAGGTTTGCTCTACATACTCCGGTTTCCCCTAACAGAAAAAACATGTACAATAGTTCAGGGTGAATGAGTGTGTGTTTGTGACTGCGACTGTGGAACAACGGATGGAAATTAGCCCAAAGCTACAGTCTGGTATTTACAAGACTGCTGTTCAATAATACACACTGTTCTATTCAAACACTAGCTCTCATGGCTATATCTGGTATATTTACATATGCACATGTAGATTAATGTGCTCTGTTCCATTCAAATAAACAAATACATTTACAGGAATTTTACTGGTTACCTGAAACCTTAAACTCTGCGCCATAGATGCAATAAAGTTCACAGCGCCCTAAATGCATTAAAGTTCAATACAAAGTACTCTTGTTCTGTGTGTCAAGTTTTGGCAAAATAATTTGAATAAAATAATTTCTGTTATGAACCAACTTTGAATAGAGTGTTTTGAAGCAAACTTTTGTCTTGACTTTTTTTTTTTTTTTTAAACAGGTCAGACCACCTGTACGTCTTCTTCATGCAGTGGAGTCCAGACATGTATGGGGAGGGGGTTCGTGGAATGGGACAAGAGCCTGGGTTTATGGTCATTAAGAAAAACGAGGCTTCACAAAATTCTGAAGACGACCCCATCACAGACCTCAATGTGAAAGAGTGGGAGGTAATGTCAAAACATGCTTAAGAAAAACTAAGTGAACATTTTTGTATTGCCATCAGCCATTATCACATATATTTATTAAATTAATAGTGTATGTGTTACTGGCTAATCCATATTCTATATACTTTTATCTGTTTATTATTATGTGGTGCTTTCAAGTGAGTTGAATCACATTGTGTAATTGTGCAAGTAACATTCACAATCCAATACATTGTGAATTAATTTTCTTTCCATTTGAAATGTTTAGATGCAAATTTCAGTTAATTTATGCTTTGTATTATTCATCGTAAAGTATATTTAATTGATGTCAACTCTTGCTTTGCTTGGAAATGTGCTGCTTAGTGCTTCCAACAAAGTATTTTGCATGTTTGTGTAAATGTTCACAATGTTGTGGGTCAGTGTACGTCATGTTGAGTGTTGTTGGTCACACCAGACAATTTATTGTTCAAAACAATACCTTTTTATGTCTTATGTCAGAATTCCTCAATCGCTGTTCTCTCTCCAATCGTTTTTACCATACTTATTTTGCTTATGGTAGCAGAAGAGTCAACCATGACTTGCAAACATGTATGGACTCTTCTTGAACTATTCATTTTTTTAAAGTTATAAACTATTTTGCTTTTTTACAAGTGGCTTTGACGGTGACTGACCCTTTAAATATCTCCTGTGTCTTCCGGATTTCGTCCTGCCTCTTAGTTGCGCTCATCCAATCAAAAGCGGGGTTTGCTCCCGTCGCATGATCTCATTGGCTCCTGGCGCTGTCACTCTGGTGACGCGGGGAGAGACCCCGTTGGAGAGTAAAAATGTTTCTATTTTCGTCCCGCGGGCTGCCAGCCTTCATCAACCAACTCTGTCTTCACATACAGTGCCCAGGAGAACTTAAATCATCTGGAATGTGACGGCTGCAGTACCTTCCTCTGAGGGAGAGATATGTTTTCTAGGAGAGTGAAGAACCCAGAGAATCGACTGACTCCTAAGTATTCCTGTGTACGACCCTGTGTCTCATTCAAGTTTTCTGTCTTCGCGGCTGTTTACACTCTTTAGCTCGCTGGCCTTTTGCTAACTAGCCTCACTGCTAGCCACCGGTTAAATGAACTAAATCAAACAGTGTAAACAAAGTGGTTGATCCTGTCTGGCAGTGACCGCTGTCGTGTGCGGTTTGTCGGTGTGTTTACGCTGAGGTTTGGTCTGATGTTGGCTAAAAGTTTCCAAAACAAGATTATAGCTATAATAATGAATGTTTTATAAGTTGCTTCAGTTTTGACTTGGGAAAGGCGTGATGGTGTTTACATTTGAGATCAGACCAGCCCTGTCCTGTTTCAGCTTTCTCTGCATTAAAATGTGTCTCGGCTTGTGTTTGTGTCAATCTCGTCCCGCTGAAGGATAGGCAGATTCTTATTCTTCTTGTCGGGCTGCTAACTCACTGGGCAGACTAACTTAAGTCTCCTGCTGAAGGTGTTGTCCTATATTATTTATGAAGACTGAAGCTTACCCTATCTGCTGCATTATTGACAGCTGTAAAGGTGCTGCTTGTTGCCACCTTAGTTATTTACACTCTGACAAGAACTACAGATGCTTAACTAATGTCTTAAGAGTTGTGAAAGTGTCTGTTTTCTTTATCTTAGGCACAATCATCTGTTGTATGTATCATGTTGACATGGTTTATGGCGCACTTGAGAGTGCGTCCTTAGGAAGCTGCTGTTCTCTGTGGAGAATGCAACAGCGTGGGGTGAAAGTTTGTTGGATATCATCCAGTCATTTTGTTGCTCAGTCTGGATCACGTTCCATATTATCGTTTGTGTTGTTTATGGACTGTTTTGGCAGAACTCATTTTTCTCACCGTTTTCAATGTAGTCTTCAAAAAAGAAACGTGAGATACACAAACATGCAAAATTCCCTTTCTAGTGCTTGAATAGATTAAAATTACGTAGAAGCATTAATCACAAACTTGCTCTACCAGCAGAGTTGTTGAATATTCCAAAGGCCAGCGGCTGAAGTGGCAGTTTTATGTTTGCACCTGTTCCTGTCTTTGTACACCAGGTAGTGTCTCTGACGGAGTACCACCGTCGAATTGATGCACTAAACAGTGAAGATCTGCGCTCACTCTGCAAGCGACTCCAGGTGCCATGATTCACTGACTGCCCCACTGTAGCCATCCTGCCCCTGCCTCCACTGTACACATCAACAATCAACAAGCGCCCCTAGGCTGTGCTCTCACTGCAGACTAAGCTTCCTCCTCCACTTTAATTAAGGTTACAGGTTTATAGTTGTAATAGGTAAGGTACTCCTCTGCATCTATAGGGAAATTTGTCCCATGTATTTTACTCATTAATGCGGAGGATGTGGTCTGCTGCAGTAATGTTGCACCAATTTAGCTCAGGGTATGTAGTAATCATTTTGCATGTTTTGCAGGTGGTGAGGATTCTGAATTCTGTTAGCTCCAACTACCACGATTTAAAAAGAAGCCAATTTTGCTTTAAACAACATTTTTTTATCATTCCATGGCAGAAAATTGGCCTGTTTTGTGTTTGTCACGTGACGGTAGTCTTATCTTCATGCGTCAGGCTTTCTGTCTAAGCCGAGCTGTTTAAAAGCTATACAGCACAAGGCCATCAGGGAATTCTTTAGTTTGTTGGAATTCTTCAAAAGACTGAAGTTTTAAAATACGTTTTGAGGTTAAAATGTAGTGGCTGTAGAAGCAGAGATGCTTGGTTAGGGGTAGTAAGAGGAGCACTATCAAACAAAGTGGTGTTGTGTCAGCGATAGGCTGCAGAAAGACAGGGAGACAATGCAGGTAGGAGTGATTTGAATGAGCAATGAAACGTGAGCTCATCCCGGGAACCGCTGGGGAAGCAACTACAATTAGATTTTGTTATTTAGGAAGATAAAGCAGATAAGTCTAACAGTGGCTGGTCAGAGAAACCGCACCAGAAACAGCCGAATGCTAATTATTCATTTGGCTGAGTTCATCTTCCCCCTTTCACAACTGTCGCTTTTCTTGTGATCCCAATCTTGCCAATCTCAACCCAGTCATCTGGCATTCACAAGTGGCATCAGCTGTCATCTTCAGTCCCTAATCGGTTTATTGATAGAAAATCTCTGCCCTATTATTTTCCCTCCAAATGATACACCAAAATAGATGTTTTTGTACCTCTGGTGTAATGTCTACTATACTAGCGGTTATAAAATGAGTTGTTATGTATTTTATTGTTACCTCAGCCCTGCTCTGCTTTTGTAGTTGTAAACTCAGATAATTGCGACACAAATTTTGATTCACATATTTATAGTGTATTAAGAGATCAGTCTGCATTGGTGTTAACCCAATCAGACACTATTTCTGAATTTGGGCTTTTAACAAGTTAGTCGCAACTAATCATTTGAAGTAATTGACGACTAGAAATTAGAAATCAGTTTGTACTTGAAGACTAGAGAGAAGAGTTTTTATATAGTCCCTTTGAATTAAATACGTTTTAAGTTGAAATACTTTTGGGAAATTGACAAAGTAAAAGATACTAATTGGATATTTTAAGATAACATCCAAGTAGAACAAACAGTATTTGTGGTCACATCTGACTGGTTGTTGCTCTTCTAGATCACCACCAAGGAAGAGGTCAACTCCAAACATGGCACGTCCATCAAGGCCGAGCTGGAACCGGAAACCTTCAAACCCAATCTCAAGGAGCCCAGCGACCTCCTGGAGGCCGACCAGATCGAGAAGGTAACGTCTGTGACATCTGGACAGGGCTTTAACTCGATCTATTTTATATCCTAGTTCATTATCTGAGAAATGAAACCATGTGTTTTGGAACTCAATAATTATCGTCTGCACATTTTCTATGTAATTGTTAGAATATCTTTTATATTTTCTATGTATTACGGTAGTATTTGTTATGGCTAATTATTGCTTTTGAATTTTAACATTTTAATTGGTTCATTGGTATTCCCCTGATTTTTGTAATTGCACCTGTGGCACAAAGTAGTTTCATTATTTTTGTTGATCGTAATTTTATTTATTTATTTTAAGGGCAATGCATAATAACAAACCGTATAGTCTGTACATTTTCCAAGAAATTGTTATATTTGCTATTTTATTTATTTCAATTATGGACAGTAACATGATATTACACAACATGTTACATTTATATTTTTCAATTAATTGCAGTCCAGCTTGGTATTACGATACATTTTCAGCCATGGCTAAATATTGCTTATGTGTTTCAGCTTATGACTTGTTAATGATGTATTTGAAATGTTTTTTTCAGTGGATTCCTCTGCTTTTTGAAAGTGCTAACAGAAAGCATTAATATATTGTTGACCAATAAGTGTTATTATGACAATGCTTCCTTTTGTGAACTGCACTTGTACAAAGAGGATTGTGTTTGGTGTCTCTTAAAGCAGCAGGGAGACATGCCAAGTACTGGACACAATCATGAATGATGTTGTCTTTTAAATGGCAAGGCAAGTTTATTTATATAGCACAATTCATACACAAGGCAATTCAAAGTGCTGAACAAAACAAGAAAGCATTAAAATCATAAATAATCACAGAACATTAAAAAGAAAGATAAAAATATAAAATCCCTCAGTTGTATGCACAGCTAAACAGAACTGTCTTTAACCTGGTTTTAAACATAGTCAGAGAGGAGGCCTGTCTCACATCTTCAGGAAGACTGTTCCAGATTTTAGCAGCATGAATCTGAAAAGCAGCCTCCCCATGTTTAGTTCTGACTCTGGGCACTAACAGGAGTCCAGTCCCTGTGCTCCTCAGAGTCCGGGCTGGTTCATATGGGACTAACATGTCACTAATATATTTTGGTGCGAGGCCATGGAGAGACTTGTACACAAGCAGAGCTGTTTTAAAGTCTATTCTCTGAGCCACAGGAAGCCAGTGCAGAGACCTGAGGACTGGACTAATGTGGTCGTACTTCCTGGTACATTAGTCCAAATGCACATGTAATATATAACATGTAGGGAAATGATTGATCGGTTGAGAATCTGACTTCCTCTTTCTTCTTCCTTCTAAACATCAGTGCAATAACTCAGTGTTATCTGCTTCCCTTTAGGACGAGTGGTCAATCATTCTTTGTTTGTAAAGGCAAGTTTGAAAGGGTCATAGTAAAACCGTTTTCTCACATCTTAAACCAAAGCTGTACATTGAATTTTCTTACTAGTGTAACCGTGAACGTTTCAAAACAGTTAAACCATTTTCCCCGCTATAAGACATTATCAGCAGTATACACAACATATTGTACTATTCACGATGTTATTGGTAATAAACCGGTTTCCCAGGTCCAACTTCAATCACTGAATCTATTGTGAATTTTTAGTTGGCAGTCAGAGATCGCCTGCCTATTCGCTCACATTAGTATTTTTACGTGAAATGTTGCGGTTCCTGCTTCTAGATCTGCTCGATGTATTTGTAAAACACATGAACAGTGGCCTCTCACCTTCATTTGTCAACCGTACGCTCTGGGAATAAACAGCCGTCACTGCTGCTGCGCACGTATTCCCAGCTGCTTCTCTTTAGATGTTGTTCTGACCATTTACCATAACCACTTATTCACAGGCCTGGTATAAGAGACACATGTTCTTATGCTACACATTTACACTGAATGAGTTTGCTGTAAATATGGCAATTTAATTTACAAATGTTAGGTGCAGTATCTTCTGTGTATGAATGTACTGTCCTTTAGTCTGAGCTAGCTTTTATTATATTTTTAAATCGATGGAGGATTTTAAATTACAGTTACATTTTCCAAAACAAGAAAACATTTCACACTCAAAATGTAGATTTCCAAATGATGATTTATGTCAAGATGTTGCAACCCTTATAGCACAAGATTAGTTTTTTCTCTTTCCCTAGGACCACAATATATACAAAATGGTACAAAAATGGTTCCAATGGGCTTCATGAAACAAATACCAATCATATTTTGTACGTTTACACTTTGAGTGTGCAATGTTGTCTTGTTTTTCCAGTTATAGATAGATAGATAGACTGAACTAAACAATTCGCTATGTAAAAATGATTGTGCTTCTTGAATTGGTTGCAGTATTTGTATTCGATGTGTGTCTGAAGTCCGGTTCAGACGTGAGTCACAGAGTGCCCTGTGTTGGGATCAGCCTCTGATGAGTCCCAGTTGCCGTATTGACCCATAGATTGCCAATATAGAGCTCTCAGTAAGCGCCCAGAGAGCACGTATGGAGCAGCATGAGCAGAGGTGAGGCGGGCCTCAGCTGCTCAGGGCATCGTTTCCAGACCAATGATTACACCGCTGTACGTTGGAGGATTTTGCTGAACCAACAAGAAACAAGTGAAACACATTTAGGGGCTGCAGAGGTGATGACTGAGCTGAGAAGACTTGAGGATGTGATGATGACCAGCAATTTTAGGTTTTAGAAAATCCGATAACTCAGGTGCGCACACTTGCGAGAAACAGGAAGAGGGTGAAGGGGGTAAACTCCTCCCATTGGTTCGTTGGGTATGAACGAATCCCATTGGTTTATTTTTATCGGTCCAAAATATTTTTTATACATTTTTGGAGACTATAGACATCTGGTTAATTCCATTACTATTTTAAAACGCATGATAACTTGACTACTTTTAGGGTTTAGGGTTTTCCCACAATATTTATGTGTGTAAATGATGTGTATTTTGTGGCAGAAGTAATATGTCATTGTGCAGCTTGTCTTTGTGGAGCCCGTCTCTGTGGCTGCACACTGGTCTCAGTTAATCCTCTGCAGTGAAGCCTCTCTCTGGGAGCGGCTGGCCTCTCCCCCCCGTGTCCCACGCTGCTCTGCGGAGCCCTGTTACTCTTCTTTAAACGCCACGCTGTGTGAAAAGGTCACCGCAGATGTAATTGAGCAGCGGTGGCTGTGGCCTTTCTGTTTCATTTCCTCTCCGTTTTCCTCGTTCTTTATTGCTTTCTTTACTCGGCGGACCTTAGGTGTTGGAAAGTTGAGAGATAAGCAAAGCGTGTCATTAGTATCCGTACAATTAACTCCCTCTCTTTCTCTCTAAACATTTCCCTTTGTTCGCAGCTGGCCAAGAATCTCCCGCCCCGGACCGTTGGCTACCCGTGGACGCTGGTCTTTGGCACGGCGAAACATGGCATGAGCATCAAGACCCTGTACCGAGCCATGCAGTCCCAGGACACGCCGGTGCTGCTGGTGATCAAAGACAGCGACGGCCAAGTGAGCTGCTCCACGTACACGCACTTAACACACGCCAACCGAAAGTAAACGCCTCACTTTGTTCCTCCAGGTCTTTGGTGCCTTGGCGTCTGAACCCTTTAAAGTCAGCGACGGCTTTTACGGCACAGGAGAAACCTTCCTGTTCACTTTCAACCCAGAGTTTGAGGTTCGTGTTTACTTCGTCGTACATAGTGGATGTGTGTTAGGACGCTTCACGTGGCATTATTCATCCCATACTCGTACATACTGATCTGTGAAGAACTCAAAAGACAGACCGTTAAAAAACAGACCGTTTAAAGACAGACCATTTAAAAACAGACGTACTGAAGAAAGATCTGTTATGTAACTGAGCAAATGACGTCAAACATGTGACTCTCACCCCTTCCTTTTATCCTAGAGAAACATAACGGTTCATTTGACACAGTACTGAACATCTTATTTATGCCCAGTAATGAAACTATACTATACTATTTTACAGATTAAAATTAAGTTACATTTTCTTTTGTTGGCATTCAAAATACAGGTACAACAGTATTTTATTATAAAGTCATCTTTAAAATATTGAAAATATATCTGTAAAAAAGGTGTGGATGAGGTTTACGCTTTAATATACAATGAATGAGATATTGGATATTGGATGTAACTAGTGTATGTCAAATATTGGTTACTGCAGGTATCCAGTAAAGTGTTGAAAATATTGAGTTCTCCCAATATTGTTTATGCATCAGACATGTGTGACGTCTAAACCGTATCATTGTAATCATATTATGAAATTATGTAATATATATTTGTTGTGGCAGGTGTACAAATGGACAGGCGACAATATGTTCTTCATGAAGGGGGACATGGACTCTTTAGCCTTTGGAGGTGGAAGGTAAGCAACATTTTGGGCTCACGCTTTTAGTGCGAAAAAACCCTTTCCAAAATTGACCACTTTTTCCTTTCTTTTTAAGCGGCGAGTTTGGCTTGTGGTTGGATGGCGACCTTTACCACGGCAGGAGTCACTCTTGTAAAACATTTGGGAACCCCATGCTCTCGAAGAAGGAGGATTTCTATGTGCAGGAAATAGAGATCTGGGCATTTGAATAACCCAAACATGCACCACAGGGAAATTACAAAGACTTGTCCAGGGCAAAATAAAGAAGCGACTCTCCTTCTTTCGAACAATGGCAACGTCTCAAAACCTGCACATCTCCGGGGCTCCCCGCGGTCGGAAGCCAGCTAACGGATGCTTGTTGTTGCGTTACTACTGCAGTTACTCTGGAGCTTTTACGTTTTTCTTTGTGAAAAATTACCTATGTGTGTATCTTGTTACCGCCTTGTGCAGCGTCTTTGCAGGGTAGTGTGGCTAAAGAAGGCCTGACGATGGTACAGACAGGCAGGCCTCAGGAAAAGCCTTTCAGAGCTGTTCTCTCCTTTGTCAGACGGAGATCGGATGTTGTTGAACCGAAAAAACGACCGGGGATCCTGGTCCAGTAACTCAAGGACTCGCACCTCTCAAAACGCCCTTAGACATGTGTGTTTCAGTAGGATGTTACTCACTGTGCTGCAGACAGAAAGCCAAGCTATCCAAACACATTCCATTAATCTCGATGATGGAGTGTCAGTAATTTGTAGTAAAACATCCGAGGCAGCAGCAGGATACAGTGCCACTGGTCTTTCTGCGTGGCTCTGTCTTTCTACCGTACAGTTTTGGGTTGTGTTCTGAGGCTAAACTATTAGTATTGTGTATTGTAGTCCTCCTGTTGTTCACTGTCATAGCACACCATCTGAAAGCACATAGTTATAATCGGATCACCCATCGTCGTCGTTCTGTTCAGTGGGTGTACGTGTGAGTCCAGCTAACACCAGCTCCTGTCTGGACGCTGGCTGTACTGTTTGTAGACAGTAACGTGTTGCAATAGATTTGTGGAATATGCAAATAACTGTCCTGTGACCTCAAACACACAGGTGGGGCATTGTGCCTGTCCTGTCGCTCTCAAGAGAGACACTTGTAAAGCTTTTACGTCTTACACACAAATTGCTTTTCTGGGTATAATTTGAAAAGCCTGAGACGTGGCATAACTTGTTTTTCATGCATATATGACAATTATATATTGGTATATATGATTATATAGCACTTATATAATCATATATATTTTTGCTGTTATGTGTGACAGTGATCTATTTGTGCTGACATTTCAGCTGTTACAATATATTGTATATTACCCTGTAAATTAATGTTACAATAGTAGATTTGTTCTGAAATATATATATATATAAATAATAATTCTATATAAATATATATATATATATAAAGTGTGGATTGGTGGGTTGCTTCTAGCACTTTAACCTGGTGTTTCGTCAAGGCCAGGTTGTTAGATTCTCTTTAGCAGTAGCTGTACAATACTTTTTTGTTTAGATAATTAAGATGTTAACTGTAGTAGAAAGCTTACTGCTCCAGTATGAAAGGGTTTGGCCTAACGCTCTCTGGATGCTGAGGCACTGGGCTCGTGGACCAGTCTCACACAGGTAGGTATGCAGGCAGACCGACCTCACAGGTGACTGAACAGCGGAGCTTCCACGCCTGTATTATGTCCATGTGAAGAGTAGAAAAATATGGAAATTTCTTCCAACGATTTCACCAGAAAACTATGTATCAGTGATGTATAAAGATACTAATAAAGCTGAATTAATTGTTGTAGCTCTGTGTGTGTCTGTATTAATCACTTAAATCATCAATTACAGTATATGTAGATGGTGTAGTCATTGTATTATACAATAGTTAAAATGAAAGTATAGTCTAAGGCCAATGGGATTATCAGCTCTCATCTAACCTGTAGTTCATGAGCGCCATCTTGTGGCCATGTGTACTCAGTTATTATGGGAGAAGGAAAGTAGGCCAACCATTTTTGAAGACAATAAAATTTAACTTTAAAATAATCAAATATTTGCGTCTCTAAATACAATTGTATTGATTGCAGTGACAATAGTAATATGACATTAGAAGGGTCAGCGCTTCAATCTGAAGTAAACATGGGGACAACACCCTAAAGTTTATTCTGAAAACACAGGCTTAACAATAAAATAACAAAATAAACACAAAGGACACCTGAAACCAGGCAAAAAGATCCCAAACCCAGGTCACGTAGGAACTGAAGGTCATTTGATCCAAATGATTAAATATTAGACAGATGTCTCTGAGAACACTACAGTCTCTGCCTAAACCTCAGGTCAGTTTTATTAAGAGTGATCCGAGGCTTTACTCAGAAGAACTGACATGTTCAGTCATAAGTACTGCTCCCTCGAAGGCAACTCTGGCCTTTTCTGTCCGAATCACCGTCTCTGAAACGTACTGTTTAACAAATGTTTAATCTAAGTTTTCCTTCCTGATAATGATAAAAACACTGAACAAACTGATACCCCCAAAATCTGTGGGAAAACAGTCAACAAATTTAAGTCACATACAGTAGTGAAAGTCGCCAGTCGGCGCTGCGTACAATCGACATTTTCAGCAAAACTATAAAAATGCCATACCACAGAAATGGTAGAGAGTGGAGTTGCCCACGCTGTAGATTGTACTTCTTAAAAATACATTTAGTAAACTATGACTTTACATGAACCAGAGTAAACTGAAGGCACAATCAGAGTTTTACATTGTGAAAGCGACATGTGCATTGTCTTTAGTAAACCAGGTACTGGAATTCAGAATATATGAGCGGGAACATCACAGTGCAGGCTTTATACAGGATGGTTCCACTCTTAAACACAGCCTTGTGTTTGGAGCTCCAGCCCTCGGATCTGAAGTTAAAGTACACCGCGTACAGTGCCACAGCAAAGAAATGTCCGATCAGAGTCACAGGTTTGGGAGACAAACTGCAAGAGCAAAGACACGCATCAGTCAAATATACAAAGTCAGGCTGGAAATAGATAAAAAAATATATATACATAAAACTGGGGAAAAAGTTCAGACACAGAAGAGAATAACAAACATGTTTAATACTTACACAGACAGAAGACCAATGGGTCCCGCGACACACTCCCCACCAAGCTTAAAGTATCGGAAACATGCTTTCCTCAGCTCTTGGAGAGAATCTGAGTGAAACAAAAGCAAATCAATCTTTATAATGTTGTAGAGCTTTAATTACTCTGTGAATTCATGAACCAGGCGCTGGGACTCACCGTCTGTGGCTGCAAACAGCTCGTACAAGGCCTGGGCCAAAATGTTGACCACAAAAGAATGTGAAGACTTGCGTTCCCAGTGGAATTTTTTCTTTGCCTGGAATATCAAAATGAACACAGCAGGTCATCATCTGTCAAAAGCACAAGAAATCTGATAGGACTTAACTAAACCATGATTCTTATAAGTGACTGAAAATATGTAAAAAAAATAATAAAACAAATAAAAATTAGGACTGCATCAGTGATTTTGCTTGTTCACCCTTTGATTTATTTCAATAGATATGAGGCTACTGGCTGACATTAACCCAGAATATCACATACAAAGTTGTTCTGTAGTAATACACGGGAAAAAACTTGTAAAAAATACAATTGGACCCATTTTGTAGATTCTACAGAGTCTTGAGCCTGAACTCTCTCAACATGGGTCTTCCTGAGGTTTCTCACACTTTTTTCCTTTTGGGTTTTTGACTCATTCTTTGCAGATGGACGAGGGTCTTAAGGGGCGTTCACACCGGACTTAACTTCGGCGTCAAAAGCGTCAGGTTTCCATTGAAAGTGAATGGTGAAGCGCGTCAGGTGAAGCCGAGAGCCCCGGCGTCACTTGACGCGCGTCAAAAGCTTCAAGAGTTGCGCGTACTACGCGCTCACTTGAAGCTTTTGACGCGCGAAACGCTCGCGTATCACAACAATCCCTTTGACGCCGAAGTTGAGCAAAGCTGAGCTTTTGAAGCTTTGACGCGGGCTTCAACCAATCAGGAGACGAGGAGCAGCAGCAGCAGAGGGTCTGTCTCTGTCATGGAGAGAAGTCATGTATCTGCTGCTGCTGTTTTATTGTCATTATTGTTATTGGTAATATTATTTGTATGAGTAGTAAAATTCTGAGTAACAAAAATCATTGTACACATGCTGTGTAGTAAACCTAGTTTATTTAAAATAAGAACAGGCTGACGATGGGTCTGGCTCAGAGCAAGGCAGCTCCGGGCGGGCGAGAGCCGGGGAGAGGCAGGGAGAGGCGAGCGAGAGCCGGGGAGAGGCAGGGAGAGGCGAGCGAGAGCCGGGGAGAGGCAGGGGGAGGCAGGGAGAGGCGAGCGAGAGCCGGGGAGAGGCGAGCTCCGGGGTTTGAGAACTCAGACTGGGCAAGTGACATGCGGAAGTACCGCTGAAAGCGAGACTCCTCCGTACGCAGCTCCTGGAGTAAATGACGGAACTCTGCAAACACTGCAGCCTCTCAAGTCTGTGGTGAACCCAGAACATGTTTTGTTGAAGCCCTACAACAACGTTATTTTGCTTTATATAACAAATAAAGGCTCGCTGCTCATTGAAAAATCCACCGCTGTCCTGACTACAGACAACAGAGAAGCTCCTCCCACCGGCGTCAGGCGCGTCACTCGCGTCAAAAGCTTCAAGCACCAAAATGACAAAACTATCCCGGCGTCAGTTGAAGCGCGTCAAAAGCTTTTTGAAGCTTTTGGTCTGAACGCGCCTTAAGGACTGTGACAATCCGGGACATTTAAGGACATTTATTGACATTTATGGACATGGGTCATCCTGCCCCTATTGACCATGGTTGTTATTGAATTTCCTGTGTTCAAACTATTTGATCTGTAGTTTGTAAAGTTGTAAAGTTCTCTGAGACGACTGCTGTTGTGAGGCTACACAAAAACACATTTTAGTGAATTGGACTAATATTGACAAATATGTAAGCAAATTGTTGAGCTCTTTATGGGACACAAAAAAAGCACAATAAACAAGACGGCATGAGAAGATTTCTCTCTTGGTCTCTTTGCAGTCGTATCAGAAACATGTTTCGTACCTGCAGCATGGCCTGGTCATCGTACAGATCGGGGATATTTTGGAACAGCTCTCTCCATATGCGCACATCGTTCAGAGCCACGCTCATGCCGCCTCCCGTCAGAGGGTGCCTCATGTTGTACGCATCGCCCAAGAGCAGCACACCTGTGAGCGACAGACTGCATTTGTGTTTCAGCCCAATGACATCAGCTGCCTCTTCACAAGTCAATATGTTCATGCTTTCAAACAGAGCCAAAACTGCACTGGACTTTCTCTGATGATGTGGCATCTGTTGTACAATGGTTTAAAGCCTTTTGGAATCATGATAATTACCAATTTTCATAGTCAATTAGTTTCTACATTTGATTTCCATGTTTCTGGAGTTATCTCCAGCTGTGAAGTGTGGAGATTACTGCTTCATCATTACGCTTTTTGTTTTGAGTTTATTTCCAAAGCAATAGCATGTAGATCTCCTGCTGGGTGATAATGTTTGAGTTACCTGGTTTGTTGACAGGGGAGGGAGGGAGGAAGCTGGCGGGCATGGACCTCAGCCTGTCGTTCTGCAGAGCCTCCATGAAGGGCTCCTGCAGGTGCTCTGAGCAGAGAAAGAAGCATAAAGAGACCAGCACAACTTCACACCACATATGTACTGAGTAAGACAACGGCAAGAAATCAGATTGCCTTCATTTACCATGGACTTTTGTCTCTAACGATATGTTCTAACTCTGTTTATGTACAACATTTTAGACCAGGCATGTCCAAACTGAGGTCCAGGGCTGGCTTACACAGGCATAAAACTAATTTATTCAGACTGGCTGTTTTTTTTTTTTTATTATTTTTTTTTTATTAACTATTACATTTTAATACAATTACAAGAATGAAAACATAAGAGAAAGAAATAAAACAAAATTATATTCGAAATCTAATATATACGGTTTACAAATACAGTAGGTGTTAAGGTGGGAGGGGTTGGGGGGGAGGGGGAGAGTAAAAAAAATAAAATAAAATTATTCGGGTTGCGTTTTTTATTGTTTCAGTTCAGCCTTGGTTTGCGGAGTTTCTGTATATGTATGTGAATGTGTATGCAATGCAGGGGTGCATAGGTGCTATGTCGAATGTGGTCAAATGAATCTATATATTTTACAAAAAATAAATAAAATAATAATAATAAAAAAAATACATAAAAAAATAAAAAAAAGGGGTTTATATATATACACATCATCATCGCTATCACTATTATCATCGTCATTGCCACAATCATTACCCATTGCTAATTTTATCTTGCTGGGCTTTGGTGAAAAATAATAATAGTAGAATAAATGACAATAATAATAAATCAATAATTAATATTAACAAAAATAAACAAACAAATCATAATAATAATGAAAAGCAGAGCGTGCTGCGAGACGGGCTCACTCAACAGGCCCTGCTTGTCCTCTTGTCAGTCCTGTGAGGTGCATTAAAAAAACAAGAAATTTGTGGGGCCGATGAGGTGGGAGATACCCCACATCGGGCCCACTTCTTGTCTGCCCTGTTGTTCTCTATGTTATGTATATTTGATTTGTTCATTTATTTTATAAACACAACGTTATATATATTCTTTTTCTTTCCTTCTTCCCTCTCTTTTCCAGTACCTGATTGTAATCTTGGATCTAATGTGTATAGTTTGTTCAGATATCCAATTTAAGTGAGAGAGGAAATGTAAATAATATTAATTATAATAACAATTATAATAACAATTATAATAACAATTATAATAACAATTATAATAACAATTATAATAACAATAACAACAACAGCAACGTGAGGAAGTAAGTAAACAAATAAATAAATAAATTCAGACTGGCTGTTAACACGTTTAGCACTCATTAGCACGGTAACACCTTTTAAATGCTTTTTAACTAGGATTTTATTGTAAAGTATTTGAGTTTTGTAAAGGGCTCTATAAATAAAGTGTTGATTTAATTTTAATTTACCACATAATTCCTATCTCATGCAGCTAGTGAGTAATCTTTTACATTCAGCCAACTTCAGCTGTGTCATTATAAGTTATATCTATATCTATATCTCACAAACACAGATAGGGCTTGACCTGGCAGCTGTGGGTGGACCTTCTCCACCATGTAGTCCGAGAGGCTGCGTGGCATCTCTCCCCTGATGTCCACCAGGACTCGGGTCTCACTGGACGAGATCTGATAGATGAGGACTGGACTTGGATTTGCAAGGACCAGTTCTGCATGGTGCGCTCTGAACTGCGGACAGTCCTGACCAGACAAAAGATTATGTTTATTGTAAGTTTAAAAACAAAACGCAATTAGCTAATAACAATAGTAAGTTCACAGTTATACATTATGTCAAAGCTGAATTCTTAATTTCTTGAAGTGATTTCACAAACAATGCACTTACCTTCATAATACAGCCAACAAAATGAGAAGAGACTTGTGCTTTCCCAGAAACAAGGCTTTTTCTAAACTTGGAGAAGCATCCATCTGCCACCACTGTCAGAGCAGCATGGATAACCTGCAAAGACAAAAAGTATGAATCTGACATTATTTTGTTGAGCGGTGTGCAGCTCTCACCTTATTAGCTCCAGTTTCTTTATCTCTGTATTGGACTCCAGTGACACAGCCGTCGTCATCTTCCTCTAAACTGGTTACTGTGCCTTCAATGAAAGTGACACTGGGGGTAGAACAGCAGACATCAGAGGCAAGTCACACAAAACAAATCATCTCCTTTCCTCATAACAGAACTGTCTTTTTGAAACGGTCCAATCAGACAGTACCACACTCACTTGGACTGGGCCATGGCGGCTCTCCTCAAGCCCATGATGAAGCGGCCATGATGGAAGGCCCTGCCACACTGCAAATCCCCGTCCACTTCGGGGTACGGGATCTCCACCTCCGCCCCACTGTCCCGGTCGTGGATGACGTAACCATTGACCACATGAGCGTCCAGACCCTCCACTGAAGCTGAGGCACAAGGGTAGTTTCATGCCAAACAGATGCAACCGTATTATTGATGCAACCATAGACCATTGTGCATTGATCAAAATATGTTTTCTGTGGTGACTGTGGTGTTGGTTTGATGTTGAGGTTTGATAAAAGTTAAGGATTCAGATTTTTTATGTATTTATTGTAATTTTTTGCAGTCCAGCGCACCTGATCATGAGGCACATTATCAATAATCGTGTTTCTTGCTGTAATTATAACACTATTTGTAATTTGGATTATAAGGCGTATTGATAATGATGGTTTACCTGTAAAAAGAAATATACAAGTGTCATTTTCTTTCTCATTCTTGAAGGTGAATTGTAATATAAACTGTACAACTTAAATAACTCAACATGTTTCTGTTTTTATATTTATCCGCCGATACAAAAGGCCTAATGTTATTACTAATCCTACCATCACCATCACGAAGAAACAGAGGTTGGTCTCACCCTCCAGCCCCAGAGCTTTGAGAGCCCTGTATCCCCCGGGCTGCAGCAGCTCTCCCACAATGCGGTCTGGCTCCGTCAGGTCCCTCTCCACCAGCGTCACCCTCCTGCCGTCCTGGGCCAACACTGCAGCCATCGCAGAGCCCAGAACCCCTCCTCCAACGACCACCACGTCTGGCTCTGGAGGCCCCCAGACCCCCCTCTGAGCCAGGCTGACACGTGGAGGAAGCCTGGACCAGTCTCCGCCGCCTTCTGGAGCCCTGCAGCAAAGATCCCATTCATACGCCTATTTCAATTTGATTTTCTATAGCATGCCATTCTATGGCATTTCAATAATAATGTCACCATTTAACAACTTGTGAAGCCATTGGTCCACAGGGTGAAAGGATGGCCAACAGTTCAATTAAAGGCTTTTGGTTTTTAGAGGTGCATTATGTAAAGCAAGGCACAAGGTGACTCAAAGTGCTGAACAAAACAAGATGTAACTTTGTGAAACAAAGTAACCCAGTGGCTGTAAGAGTGGTCGACAAGGTGCCTTAACTTTTGATTAGGGTGGTGTCTCTGGGTTTTTCTGGTGCGGGCGATCCTAACATTTTAGAGACCACTGTTATGGAAAGTACAGGTGCCATTCTGACACTCAAACAACTACTGGCTCACTGCCAAAAATACCAACTCTTGACATAGAGAAGTATTGTGAGATCTCAAGAGAAACCATGCATCTGGACCAGCACAATGGACTATCTGCACAGCCCCTGATTCCACTCAGGCTGTGAGCTGCTGAGACATGGACAATACCATCGTCCTCTTTTGCATGGACACCATTTGGAAAAATTGGATTACACAATTTGGACATAATTTGGAACAATTGGATTTCTGAATTTGGACATAATTTGGACTGAATTGGATTTCTGAATCTGGACACTGAAGCTGAAACATGTGATTGAAAGACACGCCACAGAAGAATTCATGGCTCGACACAAATGCAGCCTGA